GGAGACGTCTAGGTCAACTGGCATAATAAAGTTTATTAAGAAAATGTTCTGCATCCTACTTTGGTGAGGGGCGTCTGGGGTCTTAAAAGCTAACGAGCAACCATCTAAGATGCATCAATTGGTTACAACCCACCTGAAGCAAAAGAGAATGAAGAACACCAAAGACACAGGAAAATATTAGCCCAAGAGGCAAAAGGCGCCACATAAACCAGAGACTCCATCAGCCTAAGGCCAGAAAACTAGATGGTGCCCAGCTACCACCAATGACCGCCCTGACAGGGAACACAACAGAGAGTCCCTGATGGAGGAGGAGAAAAGTGAGGTGCAGAACTCAAATTCTAGTAAAAAGACCAGACTTAATGGTCTGACTGAAACTGGAGGAACTCCAGAAGACATGGCCCCCAGAACCTCTGTTAACCAGAACTAAAACCATTTCTGAAGCCAACTCCTCAGACAAAGAATAGACTGGACTATAAGGCATAAAATGATACTCACGAAAACAGTGCTTCTTAGTTCAAGTAGATACATGAGACTAAACAGGCAGCTCCGTCTGGAGGCGAGATGAGACAGCAAAAAGGGATAGGAGCCGGTTGAATGGACACAGAAAATCCGGGATGGAAAGGAGAAATGTGCGGTCACATTATAGGGATAAAACTAGGGTCACATAACAATGTGTATATAAATTTTTGTATGAGAAACTAACTTGAGCTGTAAACTTTCACTTAAAGCCCAATTAAAAAAAAAAAAAGGATATAATATAGATTATGCATTTTTAAGGAGCCCTGGTGGCACAATGACTAAGTGCTTGGCTGTTAACCAAAAACTCAGCTGTTTGAACCCACCAGCTGCTCCACAGGAGAAAAGACCTGGCAATCTGCTGCCGTAAAGATTTCAGTCTAGGAAACTGTATGGGTCAGTTCTACTCTGCCTCATAGGCTTGCTATGAGTCGGAGTCAATTCAATGGCACACAACAACAATAATAACATGTATTTTTAAAAAAATTATATCAACCTTTTATATCTTTTTTTGAATTGATTATTTTTTATGATTCTATTTTCTCATTTATTGGCTTATTATCTCTCTCTTATAGTTGGTTTAGGGTTTATAAAATATATCTTTAACTTATTCCAGTCTACATTCAAGTAATATACCATTTCGTGTATATTATAAGAATCTTATAACATATATTTCAATTTCCCCGTCTCCTGGCCTTGTGCTAAACCTCAATAAATTGTTATTATTTTTGCTTTAAACAATCTATTATCTTTTAATGAGATTTTAAAATAAGGAAAAAATCTTTTATATTTACCCACACATTTACCATTTCATAGCTTTTGTTCCTTTCTATAGATCAAGATTTCCATTTGGAATTATTTTCCTTTTGCCTGAAGAACTTTCTGTAACATGTCTTGTAGTGTAGGTCTTCTGGTGATGAACAAAGAACAGACAGGACAAATAGAAAACAAATAGCAAGATGATAGATTTTAAAGTCAAATTTATCAATAATCACATTAAATGTAAATATAATTTTGCATTTAAAATCTCTGCTAATTAAAAGGCAGAGCTGGTCAGATTTGATACAAAGCAAGATGTGATTATATGCTGCCTACAAAGAAATCTACTTAAATATAAACACAAAAATAGGTTAAAGTAAGATAATGAAAAATGACATACCATAGTAATAATAATTAAAAGATAGCTCAAGTGGCTCTATTAGTATCAGAAAAAGCAGATTTCAGAGCAAAGAATATTATCATGGATAAAGAAATAAAAGCATATGATAAAGTAGTCAATTCATTAAGAGAAAATAAATATGTATGCACCTAATACCAGAGCTTCAACATTCATTAAGCAAAAAACAACAAAACTGCAAAAAGAAATAGGCAAATTCACAATTTAAGTCAGATATTTCAACACTTCTCTCTCAATATGTGATAGAAAAAGTAGATAGAACACAGTAAGGATATAAACTATTTGAACAACACTGTCAGCATTGACCTCCTTGATGTTTATAGAACATTCTACCCAACAACAGCAGATTTTAGTTCTTTTCAAGCACACATAGAACCTTTATCAAAATAGACCAAATTCTGGGCAATACAACAAGCCTCAATATATTTAAAATAACTCAAATTGTAATAAAATATTTTCTCTAATCACAATGGAAATAAATCAGAAATAACAAAAAGATATCTTAAAAATCCACACATATTTGGAAATTATGAACACTTCTAAATATCCCTTAAGTGAAAGAGGAAATCAAAAGGAAAACTAGAATGTATTTTGAGAAGAATGAAAATTTGTGAGATGCAGACAAAGCAAAAGTTAGAGGTACATTTATAGTCTTGAATCCCTATATTAGAAAAGGAAAAAGGCCTCAAATCAAAGAACTCAGCTTTCAAATTAAGAAGTCAGAAAAAAGAAGAGCAAATTAAACCCTAACTAAGCAGAAAGAAGGAAATAATGAATATAAGAACGACAACAACAACAACAAAAAAAAAAAAATTAGAGAAAACCAGTGCTGGCTCTTTGAGAAAATTAATAAAATTGATATACTCTATCTAGACTGATCAGGAAAAAAAGAGGGAAGACTAAATTACCAGTATCAGGAAAGAGAGAGGAGACATCAGCACAGATTATACAGACATTAAAATGATAATAAGAGAATATTAACAACTTTATGTCTATAAATTCAATAACTTAGATAAAATGGATACATTTCTTGAAAGATACCTACTACCAAAGCTCATTCAAGAAGAAATAGACTCTCTATATAGCCCTATACATCTATTTAAAAAATTGGATTTGTGGTTGAAAACCTTCCCATGGGTACACACATATATACTTGCAAATCTAGGTTCAGATGACTTCATTGATGAATTCTGCCAAAACTTTCAGGACATAAATAATACTAATTCTACACAACCTCCTCTAAGAAACTGAAGAGGAGGAAATGCTTGCCAACTCATTCTATGAGTCCACCCTTATCTTGATACCAAAACCAGAGAAAGACATGATAAGAAAGCATCAGATTGATATTCCTCATGAAAGTAGATGTGAAAATTCCTTTAAAACTTAGAAAATCAAGCCCAGCAGTATATAAAATGATAATACATCATGACAAATCGGGTTTATTCCAGGAATGCTGAAATTCACACAACTGTTAAGAAACGGAGCCAGACAGTCTAAGGGCAAGGTCTGCATTTGTCTTCCTAGTGCCTAGCAAGGCACCTGGTAGATATTAAACATTCAATAAACATTTATTGAATACATTTGTGATAGAACAAATGACAACATTGAATAAGTGATAACTACATGAATACCACTGCAGGGTATAATGGCCATCAAAGGCCAAACGAGGGGTAAAAAACAAACCAAATCCCTGTGATAGAGTGACTTCTGACGCATAGCAACCCCACAGGGTTTCCAAGTCTGTAAATCCTTACGGAAGCACATTGCCACAACCTTCTCCCTCGGAGCCACTGGGGTTTCTAATCATCGACCTTTCCGTCAGCAGTCGATCACTTTACCCACTGTGTCACCAGGGCTCCTTCATAGAAGAGGAACAGTATGTAAAAGGGAAGACTTAGTGATTGTGGCATTTCTTTGGCATGGAGCTGGAGAAAGGGTTCAATATGAGGGTGGATACAGTTCAGAGAATCAGAGGAGATAAAGAAGGGAATTCCAAGCAAGAGTAACATGAGTGAAAACTGGAAGCAGGAATAAACATGGTTTTCAATATACTACCTCGACTGGAGTGGTGATTGCACTTGGAGGTAATGAGAAATAAGGTTAGATGGATGAGTTAGTTTGAATCCACCAGGTGCTCCTTGGAAACTCTATGGGGCAGTTCTACTCTGTCCTATAGGGTCACTAGGAGTCAGAATTGACTTGACGACAATGGGTTGTTTGGTTTTGGATGAGTTAGGGTCAGAGTATGCAAGGTTTTAGCAACAGGAAATAGGGGAGAGAAACCACTGAAATTTTCTGAACTGTGGTGATGAAACCAGTGTTCAAAGAAAAAAAAGTAGTGGTTACATTCATAATGGATTAGGAGAAAAAATACAGTATTTGGATGGAGAGGGTTGGACCCAGGGCAACCGGGAGGTTGTTAAAATAATCCTGTCATGAAATGTTTAAAACTTGTACATGAAAGTACCTAACTGAATGTCAGCACAGCCTAGGGCTTGGGTAAATGTTAGTGGAATCTAAACAGTGGCTAAATTAATATTTCGTTGAAATCAGGAATCTTTTTTTTTGTCTTGATTCAGGAAATTTTCAAAGTGGTCCTAGAAATCTGTAATGCATCAAGAATATTACTGGCTTTATAAAATTTCATTTATATGAGATTCTCGATTAGCTTTTCCAATTATTACCTTGAGGTGTACTGAAGTGCCTTGCTCTCTGCTTCACCCAGATTGTTTCACCGTGTTTGTACTACGCGCGTATTTCCACGCTTACTCTCAAACAGATTTGTAGGGAACATTCAAGCGTTGCATTTTTAAAATTAAAGAACTGCTGCTACAAAAGGAGAATTTGCTATGCGTAGGCAGTTTATTTTCAACGTCTCATTACACACCTAATGGCCACCTACTCCTAGAGTTTAAGAATGGAAGGGAACTTGGAGATAGCACCCCAAGTCGCACAGATAGGGTTAGGGGGAAAGCGAGGCCAAGAGAGGGTGAGCTGTACAGGGTCACAGAGCCACGGACTAGAAGTTCAGATTTCCGGCCTTTTCTACGCGGGGCCAAGAATTCCAAGAGGGTAGGATAAAGCTCGAATCCCGAGGCAGCGAGTCAGTGTCAGAAAACAGACTTTCCTCGATCTTGGGATGCCCGGGATACTCGAAAAGCTCGCGAATTCTGACTGGGAAGCGACAGACACCATCCCCAGAACCCGGCGGACTGGTACCCTCAGCCGCACCTCCCGCTCTCGCGATACTGGCCACCCCTCGTCCTCCGGGCGAGGCCCCGCCCAACACCGAAGCCCCCCCTGTCGTCATTTCCTGTGGGTTTGCGGGCAAAAGGAGAAGATGGCGGCGGTGGGGGAACCTGTGCGGCTGGAGAGGGGTGAGTGCTGCCGAGGCCGGACCGGGTTGGCGGAGGGGGTGACAATGTGCCGTGTCGCCGGAGGGGAGGAGGGGCGGCCCAGGCTCCGACACCCGGAGCCTGGGCCGTCCTTCGCGATGGCGCCGGCGACCGCCGACGTCGCTGCGCCGGGACCCAGGGAGGGCGCTTGTGGTCTCTTGATTGATACCCAGACCCCGCCTCTGCTCGCACCGATTCTTCCGAGGCGTAGCACAGGCACAATCTGCCTTCTGGGTTCGCGGACACACACCGGTTGTCTGGGTGGACATAGCAGACGTGGCGTCAGAGACGTGTAAACCGGAGAAGGAGACATCACACATCACTTACAGCTTTCGTTTTGTAGCTCTCACGCAGTGTCTGTATATATCCGCGTACAAACCCAGTTTCTTCGCCTTCATTCGCATAGCCCACGCTTTCCGGACGCATAGTTCATTCTCAGAACCCTATTTATTTACATACACAAATTCTATCATTATTTTCAGCACCTCACTTGAGGTGGGGTATTTCCTGCCTTCAGTGCCCCCCCCCCCCCAGTATGGTGTAGGTGTTTTACTTACTTGGTCTTGGGAAGGAGGTTGCATAACTTGGTTACCTAGGCGGAATAGTGGTGGACTGTAAGTACTTGGGATTGCTATCTTATTCCTTCTATACAAACCCTACAGTTGCTAGCAGCGATTGGTTGCTTGCCTTTTAGGGAAGATGTCAAGGAAAATAGAATCTGTTCTGCTGAGCGAAAAGATTGTTGAAAATCCCTGACTGTACCTCTACCAGTGTCCTGCTACAGATTTTCAGCATTCCAAACCTTTTATTTCAAACAGTTCCACGTATGCTTTTGACACACCAGTGTTAGAAGTCATTGATAAGAGTTAAGAAGTACAGAACAACAATTTGAGTACTAGTAGTAAACAAAGTAGGTCGCTAGGTGGCCCAAACGGGTTGCACTGGACTACTAACCTGATGGCTGTCGACTGGAACCCACCTGCTGGCAATGCAGGAGAAAGGCCTGGTGATCTACTGTAAAGGTTACAACCAAGAAAACCCTGTGGAGCAGTTTTACTCTGTTACACATGCTGTAGGTCCAGGAGTCTGAATTGGGTGGATGGCACCAGCTTAATGAGGATGTATGTAGTTTGAAATTATGTTGCAAATATTCACATCTTGCAGTTATAGTTTGAATACTAAGTAACTTCTCCTCTAAGAAGGGAATACATTTTTAGAATTATTGTACTTACGGAAACCTCTTTCATCATACTTTCACACAAACAAATGCACACTTACCATTGTTAATTTGTTACTTACGGTTCTTAGTTTGGAAGCCTCTTTTTAAGTGAAATTGTTTCTCTTCAGCCCACAAGACCATTAATTAAAGCATTATTTTTCACAGAGAGTAACTACTCTGGGAAGATTTGCTAAGTTGGGCCTAAGACTGACATCTTCCTCCTGAGTACAGTGGCACTGTGCTTTGTAGCTGGGAACAAATCTGTTTGGTGTTAACAGGAGTAGGTGTTTTTTTTCGAAAGCTAGTTGTAGGATTCTGACACTTTGACGGTCTTTTGTATTTTTAACTGCAGCACAGAATAATACAGAACTTCACATCTGACATTTAGTTTTGGTAGTTATGGCTTTGTTTTGTTTTGTTTTTCCCCCAGAGGTCCCCCCCTCCCCCCAGTTACTAATTAATAGGATGAATTACTAGTGGTAGCCATTTAGCAGCATAAGAAAGTCAGGTTAACATCAATTCTGATTCTGGTTTAGAATTCTTATTAACAGACTTTATTAACAAACAGTTCCATGCATTTTACAGTGTAAAATTGATATGCCTGATCAAGATCCTCAGTGCCTTCTAAATCATGCAAACGTGGTTCATTGGAACACATTTAATCACATATTAGGTACAGTGTAGATTCAGTAAAGAATATTCCACTTTTGCAGTTTTTTTTTGTTAAATTGGAAATTTTTATGTGGCTTATGTATGGTAACTTTATAAACCAAAATAATTGATGAACCAGCAATCCCATTCATCAGCCATCCTGGTGGTAGAAAATCATAGTGGAGATTTGTTTGTTTCCACTGCAATTGATTAACATCATTTTCAGCTTTTATTTACCAACAATCACGAAGATGGCACAGGACAGGGCAACCTTTTGTTCTGTATATATAAGGTTGCCAAGAGTCGGAGCCATCTCGACAGCAGCTAATAACAACGTTTTTATTACCTGAAATTGAAAAATCTGCTTTTTTCTTCATTACATTTATTCCTAATTTTCTAGCTGTAAACATAAATGGCATATTAATTCCATAAAGAAAATTTTCTAGTCCTTCAGTATAACTTGAAATTCAGAACTTCCTCCATCTAAGTCAAAAAGAGACACAGTAATAATAGAATAATAGGTATTATAGCCCCCGGAGTAAAAAAAAACAAGAAAAAAGAAATAGAGATAGTCATTAACACTGTTATAACATGACTCTGAAATTTCATACTTATGAAATTTCATAATTCAGAAAACATATTTGAACACTTACCTTTACACTTCCCATTGAGAATTGTCTAGCATGCTTAATATATTTTTATAAATATACACGACCCCTTAATATTTTTTATGATTAATTGATGCCAGTATAACATTGATGCTTGCAACATGCCAGGCCCTGTTCCATATATTGTTTGGTTCAGTTGTCAAGTAGTTTATGGGGAAGATACCATTATTTCCATTTTACAGTGGTGGCAACTGAGACATCAAAAAAAAAAAAAATTGCCGTCGAGTTGATTCCAACTCATAGCAACCCTATAGGACAGAGTAGAACTGCCCCATAGGGTTTCCAAGCTGTCATGTTTACAGAAGCAGACTGCCACGTCTTTCTCCCATGGAGCAGCTGGTAGGTTTGAACCACCTGCCTTTCAGTTTGCAGTTGATCACTTTAACCACTCTGCTACCAGGCCCCTTAGCTGAGACATGGGGAGGTTAAATAACTTGCCCAGTATCACACAACTATTTTTGAAACCAGATTGACAGAATTAATTGTTTTTATTTTTCTATTTTGGAAACACATGTATTGAATTGATCTTTTCTTGATTAAAACACCATGTTAATGATCTAAAGTTGAAAATAGACCAGTTAATTTTATTCGTTTGTAGTATTGTTTCAAATATGCCTCTGCCACTAACAGTTCATATCTACATATGTATCTGTTTCTCTTTGAGAAAAGAACAATGATTTCACTAGCACACAGTGTTTTGTACTGTTCAGTGCTTTGGTTACTAATAATGATAATTAGATAAATTTTTATTGACAACATAGTTAACTGATAATGCTGTCAGCTTTTCTGAAGCAGTACATTGTTCATACGTCTATCACATTTCAACCTCAGTCCTTTCCTATGACATATGTAGTATTTTCTTTTCAATTTTTCTGCGTCTCTCAAGGATGTTACTTTCCAGATTTTATACTTGTATGACATTCTGTGGGCAAAATATTGAACGGTGCAGGAAGCATCAAGAGAAGATGGAAAGAATACACAGTGACTGGACCCAAAACAATTGGTCGACGTTCAGCCATTTCAGGAGGTAACATATGATCAAGAACCGATGATGCTTAAGGAAGAAGTCTAAGCTGCACTGAAGGCATTGGCAAAAAACAAGGCTTCAAGTTGACAGGATGCCAATTGTGGTGTTTCAGCAAACGGATGCAATGTTGGAAGCACTCACTTGTCTATGCCAAGAAATTTGGAAGACAGCTACCTAGCCAACCAACTGGAAATGATCCATATTTATGCCCATTCCAAAGAAAGGTGATCCAGCAGAATGCGGAAATTATTGAACAATACCATTAACATTACACGCAAGTATAATTTTGCTGAAGATAATTCACAAATGATTACAGCAGCACATCGAGAGGGGACTGCCAGAAATTCAGGGCAAATTCAGAAGAGGATGTGGAATAAGGGATATCATTGCTGATGTCAGATGGCTCTTGGTTGAAAGCAGAGAATACTAGAAAGATGTTTACCTGTGTTTTATTGACTATGCAAAGGCATTCAACTGTGTGGATCCATAACAAATTATGGATAACATTGTGAAGTATGGGAATTCCAGAACACTTGATTGTGCTTATGCAGAACCTGAACATAGTCCAAGAGGCAGTTGTTCAGACATAACAAGGGGCTACTGTGTGGTTTAAATCAGGAAGGGTATGCATCAGGGTTGTATCCTTTCACCATGGTTATTCAGTCCGTATGCAGTCCTCACAACTGGACCAATAAGCGACATCATGATAAACGGAGAAAATATTGAAGCTGTCGAGGATTTCATTTTAGCTGGATCCATGGTCAATGCCCATGGAAGCAGCAATCAAGAAATCAAATGACTTATTGCATTGGGCAGATCTGCTGCAAAAGACCTCTTTAACATGTTAAAAAGCAAAGATATCACCTTGAGGACTAAGGTACACCTGACCTGAGCCATGGTGTTTTCAGTGGCCTCATATGCATGTGAAAGCTGGACAGTGAATAAGGAAGACCAAAGAATTGATGTATTTGAATTATGGTGTTGGAGGAATTATTGAATATACCATGGAGTGCCAGAAAAATTAACAAATCTGTCTTGGAAGAAGTACAGCCAGAATGCTCCTTAGAAGCGAAAATGGCGACACTTGGTCTCATGTACTTTGGACATGTTGTCGGGGGGACAATTCCCTGGAGAAGGACATCATGCTTGGTAAAGTAGAGACCAGAAAAGAGGAAGACCCGCAACAAAATGGACTGACACAGTGGCTGCAGCAGTGGCCTCAAACATAGCAATGATGTGAGGATGGTGCAGCGCTGGGCGGTTTCGTTCTGTTGTGCATAGAGTCGCGATGAGATGGAACTGACTTGATGGCATCTAACAACAACAACAACAACATGACATCCGTATTTCTTCCTAATCTACTGTAAAATTTAGCATTCTCCTCAGTTTGTACTTGCCTACCCTGCGTGTACACACACACATAACCTTCTTGTCCCCATACACATACACACATGCCCACACTCTTACACTTTTTTGTCTGTCTTCTATATATTTCTTGTTACTCCTCGAGTAATGAATCCTAACCACTTCACTGTTACATAGGCATTTAGAGACTCCTCAGAGAAATTAATCTATCAATGTGTGTATGTTTAACTCTAGATATTTGTAGAGCAATTGAATTGTTGGAAAAACTCCAAAGGAGTGGAGAGGTACCACCACAGAAACTTCAGGCTTTACAAAGAGTTCTTCAGAGTGAGTTCTGCAATGCTGTAAGAGAGGTGAGTAAACCAGATTAAAATTTACTAAAAACTTGAGCCGATTAGGTAAAATAATACTCTGAAATTTGGATTCAGAATTTTTTAAGGAAATAAAATAATGTTTAGAAAAATGTTAGAACTTGCCTCTCTCATTTTTTGAATTTCAAATAGAAAAACCTTTACAAAGATGTGTAACTTTGCTAAAATTTTAACATTCGTTAACCTCAAAAAGACCTCGCAAATAATGGTGTTTTCTGGAATTTAAAATTGTGGTGATAACTTTGGATTTTCAGGTATACGAACATGTCTATGAGACTGTGGACATCAGTAGCAGTCCTGAAGTGAGAGCTAACGCAACTGCAAAGGTAAATTGTTTTCATTTACCAAAAGTGAGGGAATTCTTTGTAAATTAGAAATTTAAAATGTATAAATGCAATTATTAGATTCATAATAGACTTATTGGAAAACTAACACAGTATCTTTCAAACTACACTAAACTTTTCAAGTGCTAAGATAAATAGGACATTTTGAAAATAGATTCCTATAGGAGATTTTATAAAGTTTAGATAATGCATTAAAAATGCACTTACATACAAACATTAATATACATATACAGTACATAATTGTGTTATACCTGGAATTATGCAGATTTTAATCAAAATTCTGAGGTATAAATTATTACCTTTATTTTATTGATAAGGATAACTATGACAAGCAAGATTGGGTTACTTGTCTCAAAACACAAAATTAGTGAATGATGGGGCTGGGATACTCCCTCAGGTTTTTCTTTCTCCAAAGCCTTTGGTCTCTACTTTAGCTCTGCCATTACAGTATAATGCCTGTAGTAGATTACCTCTTCAGAACTGCATGTGGCAGGTGATATGTGCTATTCTGCACCAGTGTTTTCCTCAAATAATTCAGGCATTGACCTCAATGTTCATCGTACGCAATTAGGATAAATATCAGCAGTCGGTGACTTATACTATAATTAGTCATTAGCAAATGATTTTTCACTGGTAGTGTATTAGTTGGAGCCCTGGTGGTGCAATGGTTAAGAGCAATGGCTGTTAACCAAAAGGTCGGCAGTTCGAACCCACCAGCTGCTCCTTGGAAACCGTATAGGGCAGTTCTACTCTGTCCTGTAGGGTCGCTGTGAGTCAGAATTGACTCGACAGCAACGGGTTTGGTTGGTTTTGGTTTAGTGTCTTAGTTAGCTAGTGCTGCTGTTAACACAAGTACCATAGTTGGGTGGCTCTAAAGAACAGGAATTTATTTTCTCATACTTTTGGAGGCTAAAAGTCCAAGTCTGGGTCATGGCCTTGTTGATTTCTTCCTTGTTGGTAGTCTCAGACGTTCCTTGGCGCTTCTCACTTGGCATCCTTTCTTCCCCGGTGTGTACGTGTGTCTGTGTCTGATCTGCTTTTTTATGAGTCAGAAGTGATTAGTTGTAGGACATACCCTACAAAGGTATGGCCCCATTAACATAACAAAGAACCCTATTTCCAAATAAGATTTTATCTATCGGGTTAGGGGTTAAGATGGGCACAGTGTTCATCTGCCCACCACACCTGCTTGCCAGGTGCTGTGCACACAGACTGCACAGCAGTCAAGGCAGTGGATGGGGTAGGAGTGACCTGAAATATCTTAAACCTTCCTATATAATCCCAGGGTATTCTTTCTCATCACCTCTGAAAAACCATTTGTGGGCATCCAAACTTCAAAAACATGTGCCTCTTAAGTAGTTTTTAATCTATAGGAAGGTCCAACACCTCTACAACAAAAAGACAATCCAATTAAAAAATAGACAAAGAACATGAACAGACACTTCACCAAAGAAGACGTTCGGGCAGCTAACAGACTGACGAGGAAATGCTCCCAGTCACTAGGCATTAGAGAAATGCAAATCAAAACTACAGTGAGATACCATCTCACCCCCACATTACTGGCACAATCAAAAAAACAAAATAACAAATGTTGAAGAGGCTGTGGGGAGATTGGAACTCTTATGCACTGCTGCTGAGAATGTAAAACGATACAACCATTTTGGAAAATGATATGGTGCTTCCTTTAAAAGCTAGAACTTGAAATACCATATGATCTAGGAATCACACTCCTAGGAATATATTCTAGAACAATAACAGCTGTCACACAAATAGACCTATGCACACCCATGTTCATTGCAGCACTGTTCACAGTAGCAAAAAGATGGGAACAACCTAAGTGCCCATCAACAGATGAACAGGTAAATAAATTATGGTACATACACACAATGGAATACTGCACAATGATAAAGAACAATGATGAATCTGTGAAACATCTCACAACATGGATGAATCTGGAGGATGTTATGCTGAGTGAAATAAGTCAATTACAAAGGGACAAATATTGTATGAGACCACTACTGTAAAAACTCATGAAAAGGTTTACACCCAGAAAGAATCTTTGATGGTTACGAGGGAGGGGAGGGGTGAGGAGGGAAAAACACTAACTAGACAAAAGATAAGTGGTAACTTTGCTGAAGGGTAGGTAAGACAGTACACAACTTGACCAAGGGAAAGTCATAGAAGATTCATAGACATATCCAAACTCCCTGAGGGACCGAGTTAACATGGGCTGGGGGCTGGGAACCAAGATTGCTGGGGACATCCAGCTCAATTTGCATGACATAGTTTCTGAAGAAAATGTTCTACATCCTACTTTGATGAGCAGATTCTGGGGTCTTAAAAACTTTTAAGCAGCCATCTAAGATACATCTACTGATCCCACCCCGTCTGGAGCAAGAGAGAATGAAGAAGACCAAAGACAAAAGGGAAAGATTAGTCCAAAGGACTAGTGGACCACAGCTACCACAGCTTACACCAGACTGAGTCCAACACAACTAGATGGTGCCCAGCTACCACCACCAACTGCTCTGACAGAGATCACAATAGAGGGTCCCCGGACAGAGTGGGAAAAAAATGTAGAACAAAATTCAAACTCAAAAAAAGGACCAGACTTACTGGTCCGACAGAGACTGGAGAAACCCAGAGAGTATAGCCCCTGGACACTCTTTTAACTCAGTACTGAAGTCACTCCTGAGGTTCACCCTTTGCCAAAGATTAGACAGAAATGTAAAATAAACAGTAACACATGTAGTTCTACCCTATATATGAGGCTAAATGGGCACAGCAGCCCAGGAGCAAGGACAAGAAGGCAAGAGGGGACAGGAAAGCTGGATGAATGGAAATGGGGAACCCAAGGTCAAGAAAGGGAGAGGGTTGGCAACCAATGTCACAAAACCATATGTGTATTAATTGTTTAATGAGAAGCTAATTTGGTTTGTACATTTTCACCTAAAGCACAATTTTTTTTAAAAAAAGTAGGTCTAAAAGCGACAAGAAGAGCTGAAGTAAACAGTTCGTATTTTTAAATATGTAAGATTTTCTTTCAGGCTACTGTCGCTGCATTTGCCGCCAGTGAAGGACATTCTCATCCTCGAGTTGTTGAGCTGCCAAAAACAGAAGAGGGCCTTGGATTCAATATTATGGGAGGCAAGGAACAAAACTCTCCAATCTATATATCTCGAATAATTCCAGGTGGAATTGCTGATAGACATGGGGGCCTCAAACGAGGAGATCAGCTCCTTTCTGTTAATGGAGTGGTAAGGATGTGTTTTATTTCTATTTGTAGTAATGTGTTGTGACCACTTGGGGGTGTATTTGAGATACAGAAACAGAAGATATTGATTTGGGGTGGTGGGGGGGAACCAAAGAAACTTTGTAGTTTAGAAGTCCCCTGGGTGAATCCTGGGCGGTATTATCTCTTTTAAAGAACTTATAAAGTGTTTTTTGCTTCTTTCCAATCTAAATTAGCAATGTTTAGTGTGACTCTTATGAAGTAATTAACTCTTTAGTAGTTAAGGCAGTACATTAAAGTAGAAATCTACCCTCATTTTAGCCTTATAAAAATGGCAGTTGCTTGATTTACTTCTGACTTAGTGAAATAATAGGGCATGTAGATTGATAGGCACATTATTTGGAACATATAAACCAGTACCTAGACTATACGCAGAGTATGATTTAGCAGAGGATTTCACACTAATTAAGATGATAAGGCCGAGTTTAGTTTAGTTTTATGGTATGGAAATAATACAACGTTAAAACATTTTATTTATATACATTTTAAACATTTTTACATCTTGGGTTACTTACAAAACCTAGATATTAATTACATTGCATGTGTTTTTTTCCTAGAGCGTTGAAGGAGAACATCACGAAAAAGCTGTAGAACTGCTGAAAGCAGCTCAGGGGAAGGTTAAATTAGTAGTACGATATACGCCCAAAGTCTTAGAAGAAATGGAGTCACGCTTTGAAAAAATGAGATCAGCAAAACGCAGGCAACAGACCTAATGCAGTTCACAACTTTATAGTCCACTTTGCTTTTAGCTAGAGAAGTTTTGCTTGTGACCTACTGATGGCCGCAATGCCAATGATTGTAAAAAAACAAACAAAAACTTCCCATGAATACTCCTTGCCATTTTATAAATGCCTATTTTAACATCATTTATGGTTCCAGAGATGCATACACTTTTTTCTGACAACAAAAAGTAAAAGGTGATGAGGGCAGTTCTGTCCTGCTGTTTTTACAGGCCTTTTTCAAGTGCAGATTTTGTCATAAAGTTGTTATAGATTTTTAAAAATGCTTTTTTAATATTAAAACGTACTTTTAACATTCTTAATCTGTTTTTAAAAAAAGCTTTCTTCATTTGGCTGCTTATTTAAAAATAACAGTTCTCCAATTCTTTTTTGGCTTACTCTATTTTTTTTACCTGTGAAATTTCTTTAGGGTTTTCTAAGAAGTTAGACATCAAGTCTCAGCTACAGCAGTTCATTACACTGTCAGTGTTAACATCACTACTGCGTTTTGTACTTTTGAACACACACGTAATACAGTAATCAGTGGTAAATCATAACTCGGCATAGTGGAAGTTTTTTACTTTTATTTAAACATAATGTATAATGAATATTCATTGATACTGATTTGTAAAAGTTTTTAAACACTGACAATCATTGCTAAAATATGTATTCTTTCATAATATTAGAGCAGTGAGGTAAGAGGATGTAATTTGGTTGGTAGCATCCCTGATTACATCCCTTTCTATTTATATTCAGTAATATATCATAAATTACAAATGCATAAGCAAGTTCAAATTTCATTTTTTGCAAATTTGTTTAATACTATTCATTTTTATTTAGAGTGCTTATATTTTGGTCCTTTTGTCCTAGAGAGGAGCCAGTTTTAGTCTTCAAGAGCAGTAGTGAAAGCAAAGAAGAAAAAGTAATTCTTCTAACCTCAACTAGCCTCAAGAGTTACACACTTTAACTAGCTCAATTTAAATGATTGATTTTAAAGAAGAGGAAAGAAGGCTGTATTTAAAATGTATAGAAATTATGAGATGATATATTCATAAGAATCTGCAGACTCCTTGTCAAAATGAGTAGGAACTTACTCATGTTAAAATGATTGGGTTTAGAAATGCAAACTTTGTTTATGATTCAAATATAATGCTGAGAATTTTGAGAAATTACATTATTTAATTTGTCCACTGGATGTCACTGTTTTTACTGAAAGGCAGCTCTTAATGTATGACTGTGACTGAGGTCTTTTTAAAGGCTGAAATTAAATAGATGAGGTTCATTTTTAGTCAGAAGTTGGGAAAATTTGTACGGTTTTTAAAAATTTTAAGTGATGGATGCTAAAAGGAAGATAATGGTTCGAAATATATAAAGAATTTGGCATAATTATTCAAGACCCTGTGTAAAAAGTGGGCATTTTTTAACATTCCTTCAGGAAGAATAGAAATGTATACCTTTTCCTGCATGTTTGTGAGCACTGTGAGTCTTTAAAGATTATTCCAGTTTTTGAAGATTTTCAGAATAAAAAGTCAGCATTGTTATTTGTCGTTTAGGTATTGAACACTGGATTGCATGGTTGAATGTGTCTTTAGTCTGCCTCAAAATGTGCTTGTTATTGATAGGATCGTGTTGTTAAATCGTATGTTTTCAAAATTAATTGATGTTTTTAAAATGTTGAGACCAAAATAGTGTAGAAAAATTATGGACTTAATTTAATTGTAAAATTATTAGAGATATTTGTTGTAGAGGTTTATATATTAAAGAGAGGTATCAGTGCGTATAAAAAAAAGTAATATTGTTATGCTTGTATTCTTGCATTACAGGGTATGTAAACCCTGAAGAAGTCTTATTTTAGTATAGCTACAGCTGTAATAGTTTTTAAGGGTGTGTCAACATTTCATTATAAATTATAGCTTCCTGGTTCAATATCAGCTGTTCCAGAACTTTCAGCCAAGTTAAATCTTTTTTGGTGTTACAACTTAGTAAATTGAGTAAGCTATTTTTTTTCCTTCCACAGTAATCCACAATCTGTTCTTTGTGTGGGTTGGCACCTATTTATAGTTCTTAAAATGAGGGTAGTTTAAAGGAGCCAAATACAGTAGTTTTACTTGCTACCGTTAAGCATGAGTAGCAGTAGTTTGTTTTCATTAATACAATTTACAGTGTGTCCTGGAATTTTAAATCTTGACCATATAAAAATTCAGTCATTCAGTGACAAAGATGTACAGTAGTGGTCTAGTATAGGGAGGAAATGAAGGGAATATTTGTCCTATAAATGTATGATTCATGAACATAGCTTGGCACATTGTAAGTGTATATAGATGTTTGATTTGTAAATTATAAATACAAATTCTTTCCCTAGTTTCCATTTATTTTCTTGGTATTTCAGATGGGTTGACTCTTTGGTTCTTAACCTTAAATGCATAGTAGGATACCCTGCTGAGTTTTAAAATAATATTGATACCTGGGTCCTATCCCACACCAGCTAAATCATCATCTCCAGGGTAGGGGTAGACACTTTTTTTGAGTTTTCCATGTGGTTCTAATGGACACCCAGAGTTGAGAGTCACTAGTTTTCTTCTTTAAAAATGCTCTAATTACACTGGACTCTGTTTGGGAGTATCAGAATAATTCAATTTGCAACTACGTAATGATTGTTTATATTTCTTAGTAATTTCCTTAGTAATAAAAGGTACTTGGCATTCCTTATCTGGAAAGTAATTACAATCCACTGTTATTGTTATTTTTTAAAATACAATCTGCCTGGAGTTTAAATGTAAAATGTTAATGTCTGTCATCTTTATGCTCTCTTTACCTTTAAAACTTACAGAATAAGTGTTTATTATTTGAGAAAGCATGTCTAAAAATGCAGATGAGAAATCTTGTCCTTGAAAATTATGTGCTGTCTTAAATGGCCACTTTATCCATTAGTGTCGTACTAGATTATAGTGGCCTAGTTCTTTGGGGTTTGATGATTCAGAAATGTTTGTTGTGGAGTTTTGTTTTCTTTTTTAAATCATTATCCTCTTATAAATTTTTAAGTTATTTTACTCAAGTACTTAAGTAATTTGTCTCAAGTACTTTGTTTATAATTAAAATGGATATTATAGCATTCAATAGAAGAAATGGTTATGACTTACCTGAAAAGAATGTCAGCATGACTTGGCATGGTTAAGAGAATACATGTTGTGAATATTTTATAATGTGGAAAGATCATTGAAATATCAAGAATACTAGTAATTGTATTTCCTGAATAAATGAATGTTTATGAATTTTCTAATGGCTAACAGTCTGGCTGTTACACTTTTTATTACCCCAAATTTCATTAGCTTCAAAGGTTGTGAGGTTCTCTAATGGTTAAATAGAAAGAAAGAAGGAAAAAGGAAAAAAAAAACCAGACCACTTATTCATTAATTAACAAGAAGTTCCAAGCTAATTTGCATCTGGACATAGTTTTTAGTAACGGCAAACAGTAATATGCTTCTGCTTTAATTTTTAACTTTAGTTTGAAGTAAAGAAATATAATACCCAAATGGATTTAAAATAACACTTTTTCAATAGATGACCTCATTATTCATTATTTTAATTCTGGCTCTAAGTTTCATTTAAAAGAAATTTCTATTAAATTCTTGTCCTATGGATTTGAAAGAAATCGGATATAACTATACACAGTAGATGTGTTTCTTAAAGCTGTGTGCAAAATAAGTTTTAAATGGGGCAAAAGCATTATCTATGGTGGTTGTGGAAATGAAACTCCAAATTCCTATATTTTGCTTTGGCTTTCATAAAATACAACTGCAGAAAAAAATGCTTTTGTAATATTTTAAGTGAGGTGGTATGGTATGGAGCCCAGCTACCCAGGCTGGAATCTTATGTCCACCACTCATTAACTGTGTAACCTTAGACAAGTTACCTAACTTCTGTCTGCCTTAGTTCCCTTGCTATCATCAGAAATAAGAGCGCCTGTGAGTGTTACGAAGATCTTGATATTTGGTGCCGGGCGTAGTAAGCGCTGTTTGTTTTTGCTGTTATTTTCGTGTGAAATCGTTTCAGGGCCTTATTAGCTAAAGAAAGACATTGTGAGGAAGTAATTAAAATTAGCAAGTCCTTATTTTTGATGCCTAGAAAGCATTACCCTTAAATTATGCTTTATATCCTTATAAAGAATAAGACTTAGGAAGGGATTTTCGGATTTCTGTCCACTCTGATCAAAGAAACCCATAGTGGGGGTTTTCCAGGCAGGACATGGGGGTTCAGGCCACATTCAGGATGAAAAATCAGGAAAATTAAGTCCAAGTAAGGGATTTGTTCAATCAGAAAAGCAAATTGTAGGGAGATTATGTCCTAACTCTAGAGACAATGGATTGTTGGAATGGGTGTAAAATTCACTACTGTGACACTTAAAAAGGCATGGAAATGTACAAGTAACGAGGGGTACAACTGAAAACATTTATTTGTAGACCTCAGTTTCTTCGAAATTTCAGTAGACCAGAGTACCCATTCTGTAAATCAATTCTGGTTTTGTTATATTCACTATTGTTGCGTATTATGATTTTTAATATAGTGATGAGCTAATTTTTATATGTTTATTTCTTTAGTGGCAGGTAACCTCCACTTGATGAAATCTTTAAGAGTTACTTTAAGAGCAAAAGGTAAATTCATTCAGAACCTGTTGATCAATTTGCTATCTTTTAATTTTTTAAATAGCGGGACACATGCTTCATGTCCGTAACCAGGTAAATGGAAGAGCGCTGTTAAGTCTGTCAAATGCTGATGTTTATTTTGGTCACAGTCAAAATTTGGTCCTTTTAAAAGTTTTGTTTAGGAGAGGAAGTCCGGAAGAAGTCTTTTACATTTCTGCAGAATTGTTCTCACCAGTTGGAAAGAAGGAAGAAAATTTAGCCATTAGGCCTCAGATAAGCTCCCTTTATATGGCAGTAATCAAAAGTAATTCGTTTCATCTGAGGGTAACAAAAACCCCAACTTTAAATTTTGTTTTTGTTTTGTTTTCTATTTGACAAAAAAAGAGCATGAAATAGTCAAGGGAATATTTTTATTTCTGGTATCTCTTATGTACTTTTGAGCCCAAAGTTTAGATGCTATCTCACCTTTCACTTTGTGTTATAAAGGAAAGAATACTGGCCTTAAGTTCCAATTCTGCCATTTAACATATGATCCTTGAGTTGTAACTTCCTTGATGAGGGAGGTTGATGGTTTCCAGTCTTCTTTCCTTCCCTCCTTCACTCCTTCTCCTTCCCTACCCCTCCCCTCCCTTCCTCCCCCCTCCCTCTCTCCCTCACTCCCTCCCTTCCTTCCTTCTACCCAGAAAGCCTCTCTTCAACTAAAGTCTTAATATGTAGTGATCAAAACTGCTCTGGTTCAAAGACCTGGGACAACCTTTATCCTGCCCACTCATTGCTCCTTCCCATCCCAGAGCTTAGGGGTTCCTCTGAGCACAGTTTGAAAACCTATATCCTAGATGATCTCTAAGATCCATGCCTCTTCTAAAAGTTCAGTATTAAAATGCTATTGGTTTAAAAACTGAGAATTTCCTGAATACAACCAAACACTCCAAGAGACGTAGTAGCAGGGGCGGAGGTCCGGGGACCATGGTTCCAGGGGAAATCTAGGTCAATTGGCATAACAAAATTTATTAAGAAAATGTTCTGCGTTCTACTTTGGTGAGCAGTGTCTAGGGTCTTAAAAGCTAGCGAGCAGCCATCTGCAATGCATCAACTGGTCCCAGCCCACCTGGAGCAAAGGAGAATGAACACCAAAGATACAAGGAAAATACTAGCCCAACAAGACAGAAAGGGCTACATAAACCAGAGACTCCATCAGCCTGAGACCAGAAGGACTAGGTGGTGCCCAGCTACCACCAGTAACCACCCTGACGGGGAACACAACAGAGAATCCCTGACGAAGCAGGAGAAAAGTAGGGTGCAGAAAACTCAAATTCTAGTAAAAAGATCAGACTTAATGGTCTGACTGAGA